TGTATTGTAAAGTTGTGTGAATTTTTCAATAAATTCTTTTGTCAAAACCACTTGCAATCTGATTCATAGCTGAGCGCCTTGCCGCCGGTTACACAAGTTTTACTGGAAAGGCAAAGGTATTGTGAGGGTAATGAGACACGAGAGTGTATCTAGTGTTGTGTGTTGTAAATAATGAATATAAAGGTATGTGAAGTGAACCTCACAGAAGAGCCCTTTTTGGGGAATGATAGTTGAAAATATAATTACTTGTGCTGCCAGATAAACTCAATTACAGAAGGATATATATGAAGTTGGAAGAACAAGAGAAATGTGTAAGGGAGAATCAACATATATAAATACAAACCCAACTTTTTATGTTAATAAAAGGAAGTACCAATATGAAAAACATTGTTGTACAAACATCTTCAGGGGATGTTTGTACAGCAATGTTTTTCATATTGGTACTTTACTTTAAAGCAAAAAGTGTTGATAACTCAAGAACAAAAAAATAGAAGATCAAGTGCTAGTTCTCTCTCTAGCAGATATTTGTTTTATACGTACTCAGATATATGGACAAAAATTTGTTTTTCCCCATCGTCTGGTAATATGAAACCATGTCCTTTATTACGGCAAAATGTCTTACATACTCCAGTTCTTAGTGGGGTTTCTGAAGCGATTCTTGACCTAAGGGAGAAATGTACATCTTAGGACAATATCAATGATATTTACATTCGGTGCAACAAGTAAAAGTATGACCACATTTGCAGACTTTTATGCACGGTTCTCTACATTAAACTGACACATTTCAATTTGAAGCTGGCTGGTTTTACCAAAGGAGGCATGAAAAAACCTGTGCTTAACTCACAGATCAAACCCTGAAACAACTCCTGAGCTGATATTAGTCAGGACACAGCTAAATCACAGACTGAAGATAGCATAAAGATCAAACTGTGTTTTTTCCCCTTATGAGATACTTTCAATTTACAGATACAAAGATATTTAATGTACGTTTGCCATCCAGCAGAGCCTTCCCCAAGGGACCTTTGGCTGAATTGATTCGTTATCAAAGTGATATATCATCACGTGACTGTTAGAAGTTAATGCATCCCAATATAAAACTGATGCCAATAAATAATAAATTCATCTTTTCAAATTTAACACCTTTTTTTACGATAATAACCTCGTCTTATTTATCGAAGACCGGTCCAATACAAAAATAAGAGATACACGAGAAGCTTCCAGAATGTATGAACTAAAATATAAGCTTAATCAATGGATCGATGCAGATCCAGTATATGGGCAGTATGGAACACAACCTATATTTCGTGTCTACTCACTGTGATGTGGTCCTCGTTCTTCTTGTAGGAACAGGACTAGGGACTAAGAAAGGAGTTCTTTTATGTGAAGGAGATCCAGTAGAATCATGTTTTTTTGGTGATGAACCGTGATGTACGTGATGATGAACACCATCTACTTTCTCTTCATTTACCTCTTTTTTATCAGAAGACATTCCTAACTGAAAATATCATAGAAATAGATTCGTACTTATACCATAACTTTAACACTTTGTAACTTTAAATCAGTGAGCAATGAATATGATATTTTTTTTCCGTGACCCCAACTATCGTCCAAAATCTGATGAATTATTTTAATATTCAGTTCAGACCATACAAACTTCAAAACCCATCGCCTTGTTTTGCAACAAAGTAAACTCAAGAATTAAGACCAAAGTGCTTCAGACAACAAGGCTAAATTATAGCATGCATATACAAGTGAAGAGTTAGTAAAGTACCTTGAAAATGACGAAGAATGGAGGAAAAAACAGCTTTTTCGTAATCTTTCTTTGCAGGATTCTGCACGATGCTTCGATGCAGAGTACTAGTGCCAGCCCTTCTCCTCCTACTCGATTTACATATTAATTTTAATATATTAATATACTAATATTATTTATTTGATCAGTCTTCTTTTCATCTACAATAATTTGTCCTTTCAAGATTCGAACTACAAATCTTTTTATTTTATTTTGGAAAAGAGTTTAAAGACGGTAAAGGTTATCGGAGACTATCGGATTATGATCGGTACTGTCGGCATTTAATCGGATAATCTTCGAAAAAATCTCAAGTCGAGGCGAGTCGAGGCCCAGTACGAATGTAAAGTTTTCAAAAATGGCGCGGGGTGAAGGAAGGTTGTTTATCAGAGCATTTTTGTTTGTATTTAATTACTGCGCCGTTTACTTTGGCTAGATTATATATTTTGGGTCTCTAACACAGTCGCAGAGGAGTAAAGAAAATTATAAAGTTGTTTAAAGTTATTTTTCCTGTTGCGATGGAAATACAGAACTGTTTACAGGAACTTTTGCATGATGACAACACCGAAGAAAATGGCGTCCAGTTGAATTATTTTGACCTTATTGCCTCAAAGTCCCAAGAATCTTTACTTTGTTTCGAAGGGATAAAGATTCTTCCTCCACTGGTAAGCATTTTAGTTGTGTTAGGATATTAGGTGTTGCTTTTATCATAAACCTTTTTCTTTGTTTTGAAATTCCTTTCGTGACTAATGATGTCAAATATATGTGAATGTCAGTTTATTTGTATAGAAGCTTTGATATACCTGTACAATATATATTTGTACATCAAATGTTTTCCTTACTTTTGTACTTTGACATCTTCTTTTCATTCTTTTTCATAGCTGTCTGAAGTTGAGAAGAATGAAATGCGTGATTACAGAAGGAAAGCTGTGGATTTGGAGCAAAAACATTTTGAAGCAAGAAGACAAAAATATTCCAATTTGTTGCTAAAAGTTATGGATATCATGGACAGATGTCAAGTAAGGTTTACTCCTTTATCAAAATTGTTCTTTTGAAAATTTATCGGTAGGATAGGGTACGAGAATATTTTTTTGTCCATTATTATATAACTACGAGATGGTACACCTGCTCTGATTGGTCCAAAACTGTGCTTTATTTGTAAATGAAAACACACGAAATTTTGCGAAAAAGTTATTAAAAACAGCATTAAAAATCTACGATGGTTTTTTCTCTTTCTGTTACTTCTGGCATGCTTTATTACTGAATAGAGCACAGAAAAAGCTAGCTTTTGTATTTGTTAAAAAGTGCATGCACTTAACAGACTGGCTAACAAAGCTAGGGAAAATTGCTAATTTTTTTTTTCAGAGGAAAGGAGGAAAGAACAGAACAAAGACTCCCATTCCTGAAGGAAATTCCTCCAATGACAACAAAGGAAAAGAAAATGTTCAAGCACAAGAAAAGATAATAATTAGCAAGACAAATAATCATCATGTTGCTGGGGAAAGTAACAATGGTTCTATCGAGATACTGCAAGATAATGTAAGGAACTATAAAAGTTTCCCCGAAGAAAGGAAGCGGAAAGAAGGCAGTAATCAGAATGTCAAAGATGATTTGCCTGATTCTTCCTTGATATTTCAAAAACCCAAGCTTTACAATTCATCATCCTCTCCCAGAAGAAACAAAGTTGATGAAAGCATAAACAGCACAAATGAATCTGATAGAACTAGTCAGAAATTACAAAATCTGTCCCTTGACAGAGAAAGTTCAGCATCAAGTACTGGTACAACAATTGCAAGTAATAAACTTCATGGAGAACACTTAGACAGTAAAAGAGAGATTACTGCTGGTGATTCATTGGCATCAACTGTTTTATCAATGGCATTCACAGGTATGCGAATATATTGAAACACCAAATACATTTCTCCTGACATTTCAATTATTATCTGCATAACCTAGTTTATGGTGTTCAACTTTCCCTTAAGGAGAAATATTGCCCTGGGTCTCCCAAAATTTGCCTATATTTGATTGCATGACTGTATTTCCAGGGTGGTTTGTCCTTGTAGTGTAGTGGTTAACACAACAGACTAGTTTAGATAAATGGGTTTGAGTCCCACCAGCGATGTATGATACTTTGCTCATAAAATTATATTTCCAATTCATCACACTGAATGCAGCCCATTCCATTTCTGCTGACACTTCAAAGAGTGTTGTTGATGGATAAAAATATTTCAAAAGAATTTATTAAAAAGAGAGAAAGAAAAGAAAAAAAA